TGGAAAGTATATGCTTTTAAGCACATGGACCCATAAGGCATTGGGGCTCTGTAGCATCCTCCAAGCTTGACGGGCTACCATGGCCAAATTAAAGTAATAGAGGTCTTTAAAGCCCATACCTCCAACATGTTTGCTTTGAGTGAGCCGATCCCAACCAACCCAGCATACTTTCCTTTCATTCGTTTGCTATCCCCACCAAAAATCCTTAATAAGTCAATTGATTTCTTTGCAAACACCCATTGGAAACAAAAAGCAAGACATTGTGAAGGTAGGAATGGCCATAGCAACTGCTTTAATTAAGACCTCTCGGCTCGCTTGGGACAGCAAGTTTTTTTTCCAATGAGCAAGTTTTTTTTCCAATGAGCAAGTTTCTTTTGAATTTTGTCAACCACAAATTTGAGGCTATCTTTTTTAGACCTTCCTCAAGAGGTTGGTAATCCAAGGTATTTGGAGACAACAGATTCAAGTCGAATTCCTAGGTGCTCACAATTGGATTCCCAGACTTCCTTAGGGGTATTAGGACTAAAAACTGCAGCAGACTTGGAGTAGTTAACTCTCTGTCCAATAATATCCCCGTAGAGTTGCAAGATAGTTTGTAAGTGGCTCACTTCCTCTACTATGGCTCGACAGAACACTAAGAAGTCATCAGCAAAAAACAGGTGACTGATTGTAGGGCTCCTCCTTCGAATCGTGTAACCAAAGATCTTCTTTTCTATTGTTGCTGCCATCAATAGACGAGATAAAAGATCAGCAATAAAGAGATAGAGGTACGGGGATAACGAGTCTCCTTGTCGGAGTCTTCTTTGGGGAACAAAAATAGGGGTTTGATTGCCATTAATTCCGACTGTGTATGATACTGTCGAGACACATTGCATTACCATATGGATCCATTGCTCACAAAAGCCATGAGCCCTCAAAATATGTTCCAAGCTGTGCCAATCCACACTATCATATGCCTTCCGAATATCTAATTTCAAAGCCAAAACACAATGCTTACCAGATTTCTTAAGCTGTAGACCATGGAAGGCTTCATGTGCAATCAAAATATTATCTTGAATAGCTCTACCATGAATAAAAGCAGACTGAAATGGAGATATTAGGCTATCAAGATAACCTTTCATGCCATTAGCTAGTATTTTAGCAATAATTTTATAAGAAAAGTTACAAAAAGAGATGGGCCGAAAATGTGAAATCACCTCAAGGGCCTTGATTTTCATAATGAGGACAATTTTAGTTCTATTCATTTCTCGTAGCATAAAACCATGTTCAAAGAAGTGTCAAATAGCCTTGCATACATCTGGTCCTACAAGGTCCCAATGTTGTTGATAGAAGCACCCTGGGAAACCATCCACTCTAGGCGCCCTAAAAGCACCTAATTGGAACACCGCAGAACAAATTTCATCATCCGAGACAGAACGACACAATGCATGATTCATTTCTGCAATAACAGACGGGTGGATAAGCCTTGAAATCTGCTCAAGATTACAAGTGTTCGAGGAAGCATAAGCTTGTTGCAATTAGGAATAAGCATGGGAGATTATTGAGTCAGTGTCTTCCATCCATTGCCCATGTTCATTCTTAAGCCGAAAGATGTAGTTGTTTTGCCTCCTTTTAGACGCCATCACATGGAAAAATTTAGAATTCCTATCACCAAATTTTATCCAACTCATATGAGCTCTCTGAAACCAGTATGCTTCCTCTTGCATCTAGATAGTGTGAATTTTGTCAATTAAAAACTTCTGCCTCAACCAATTCAATTCTGTTTGTTCCTCTTGTTGTAGTGCATCAAGTTCTTGTTGTAATTGCTCTAGTTGTTGATATGGATTTCCTAAGGTAGCTTTGCTCCATTCCTTCAGGGACTGTCTACAATGGGAGATTTTTGCTGCCATGTTATACAGGGGAGATCCGACTCGGTTGGTCGACCATCCTTGCGCCACAGCTCCCTCATATCCAGTTTGGAGTTACCATTTCATCTCATATTTGAATTGCTACTTCGTGACACAAGGAATAGCTTTCAAGTAGAGTACGAGAGGGCAATGGTCTGAGCCAATCCTTGTGCAGTGGAATAGCTGAGCATTTGGGAAGAGACAACCCCAAATGTCATTACTTAGAGCCCGATCAAGTCGTTCACAAATATTGCCTCGAACCCATGTATATGTAGCACCTTTATAAGCAATCTCTCTTAAGGAGCAAGAGCAGATCAAGTCCTCATATAATCTTATATCAACCCTCGACGGAGGTCTTTTCCCCTTCTTGTCACTACTATCTCCAATAAGGTTTAAATCTCCCATTATTAGCCATGGAACAGAACTAGGCCATCTATGATTCATCATTCTGCTCCACATAGCTTGTCGTAAGTGTGCATTAGGTTCCCCATAGACAAAGGAAAAATGCCAAGAGATAGAGTAAGCAACATTTGAACAGCTACCATCCAGCATATTTTTATCAGAGGAGAAAATAGAAATATGAACATCCTCAGTCCACCACAAGGCTAAACCCCCCGAATAACCTTGCGGTTCAATGTACACACTACTAGAAAATGCATACTTTCTTCTTAACCGCTCCAAGTATTTCTTGTTCTTTTTGGTCTCCATCAAAAACACCAAGCACGGGCGATGTTTAAAAATGAGATCATTAAGTGCCTTTCTCATCAAGGCTTGCCCAAGGCCTTAACAGTTCCATGAAAGAATCTTCATGTCGATGAGGGTGGTTGCCACGGGCCAGCCACCGACGCCATATCAGTCATAGCATCAGGAAGTTGCTCAGTTGTTCTTGATGGAGAGTTTAGGAGATATGTAAAAGGATTACCTGGAGCATGAGTTGTACTAGAGATTAGGGGGGTAACAGAGGGTTCATTGAAGAGTCTGTGAGTTGGATGGAACGGTTGGATCAATGACAAGCAAGGATCTGGTTGGAGCTTGACTTGGCGGGCCAGTGCCTTCAGCTGGATTTTACGCCTCACCCGATGGACTGAAAAAGACTCTACAACATTTGTGACTTCACCTTTTTGTTCCTGTTGATAAGATTCGGGCCTTCCCAACGTTAGGGAGTCTTGTAGTGGGGTTGGAGAGTATTGTAGCCCAAAGAGTTCATTTTGTGTAATACAGGCCCACTTAACCGCTTCAACAGAAGGCTTAGTGTCACATCTTCATTTTTTCCCAGTTGAAATGTTACTACCCAATGATAGCTGGGCTTCAACCTTTTGGGACAATAATAAGCCCAATTTCTCACTGCAATAGTCTTCTACACGTCCCATGGCCTGATCTTGCATGTCATGTGGGATGTGTAGATGTTTATCTAGAGTTGAAAACTGCGGAGTGGTCATCATCGCATTTAATGGAGGAGGTGTTTGCTGGTGTGTGGCAAATGACAAAGATGAGCACTCTGCACTAATATCAGGAGTGGTAATCATACTCCTATATGACTGCATCTCCATCTCATTAAAGCTGAAGTTGACAACGGAAGGGTAGATGAGTTCACGCGCTCCTCCTCTTACTGTTCAACACGTCCCAATTCGAAGGGCTCTTCTTTATTCACCGCTGTATTCTGTTGAGCCGAGTTTGTCGGCGGTAATGAACATCCAGTGTCAAATTTGTTTGTGGCTTCGTGTAACAGTTTAGCATGGTGAGTTTGGTGATAGTTGCCCCCTTCCCAAATGGAGCCAAATTGCCTTTTAGGAGAATACGCTGCAACCCTCAACTGTGGCCCATATTGCGGCCTAACATGAGTGGGGTGATTGCCGTCGTTCTCCTTCCAGTTGAAATCAGCACATGATTTGTTGGTATGGCCCAGCTGCCCGCATCTATAACAGAAATCAGCTAGTTTTTCATACTTAAACTCAGCATGCCAAACTTCATCTTCCTGTTGTTGAAATTGGAAACTTATGGGAAGAGGAATTCGAACATTAATTTCAACCCTTAAGCATAAGAAGCTTTCCAAGCAACCCAAGGTAGATTGGTCCCATGAGATTAAGCGGGGAAATAGTGACCCGATGAGCTAGATGTTTTCCCGAGACATGCATCCTTTTGGGAGGCCATGAACTTGTACCCAGAATTCTGAGTGAGAAAACACATTTTCATCAAAACGCTCGGACGTTGTGCAATCTTTGAGGACAATATGGGACCCTTTGACAAACCATGGAGACTCTCTAAAGATTCTGTCTTTCTCAGTTTCATTCGAAAGGATAAAAAGAAAAGTACTCTTAGACTGTTCATGCACTTCAAGTCCTCCTTTCGGTCTCCAGGCACTCTTTAAAATGCTATACACCACCCCACTTCTAGTATCATCTTCATTCGTAATTAGACGTCCTACAAAGGAAAATCGGTGGGGCTCACTATGGTCTATTTTTTGAGTGGTTAGGCGAAGGACCAGGGTGTCTTGTCCCCCTTTGGAAGCACCACTTGCTTCTGGGTGTTGATTTACCATTTCCCCAGAAAGTGAGGAAATTAATATGGCAACCAGATCTGGTCAGTGGTAGGTAGGACAATGAAAACACCACTAGAAACACTACCAACCTTAATTTTTACACAGCGAACGGAAAATCAATTGGAAACCTACTGCAAACTGCAAAGGACCAAAGTAAGATGATAGTGAAAACCACCTGAAGGTATTACCTCAGGATCACAAGTGGGAAACCCTAGAGAGAAGCTCCTAGAAATGGTTCCCTTAGTATCTCCCTATAGTTAATTTGAAGTCATAAGTCAATTACTTAAGTGGTATTTTAACAAGAAAAAAAGTTTTTCTAAGGTGTTTCTTTTAAAGTATATTTATTATATTTTATTATTATATATAAATAAAAATAAATATTAATATTAATTTTATTAGTTATAAAATTAAAAAATTCTAAATATAGCATGATTGTTAAAATTAATGTTAAATTTTTTTATTTTTTATATAAATTAATATATAAAATGCATTTAAAATATTTTAAATTTATACCTTTAAAATATAAATTAAATACCTCTAGTAGAGTGGTACTGAATTTGTGTAACGTAGATAAAATAAGAAGAAAAAAGAATATAGTATTAATAATTATAAAAAGAAAGATGGATTACAAATGCGATTGATTAATCATTTAAAAACTTACCTGTGCCATTGCATGCTTGAAAATTTGAAATGATTAATTACCCCTTTTTTACAGCTATTTTACTAAGAACTCAATGGTCAAGACAAAGTACATGATTTTTGGATCATAAGAGTAAATTATTTACACCCATTTTGAACTTACTTTTTTCTTGGTGTAATAATTACGTAGATTTCAGGAATCATGAGGTTTGAATTTTAACCCTTTTGATGATCTTGAAAGCACAATCCACAGTTTAAAATTGTTGGATCCCTAACTAGACTTATAGGTAATCAATTTATATATATATATATATATATATATATT